TCAGCCTCAGGAGTTACCAGTTACCATGCACTACAAATGCAAGCGGTGCCACCACGCAGAGGTTGAAGGGATGCCGTACACAAAGCAGCGCTGAGTTCTCAAATGCATGTTTCCCTGGCTGTAGCACAGGCTGCAGAAATACAATGCTGGTTTATGGCTGAATCAAATCTCATTTTAGTCATGCTACTGTCGCTGTCCTTTGAAGCTGTTTCAGTTCAGGATGCCTGCACAGGCCTTCTTGCTTTCGCACAAATATGCAGTGCTGAGTTTTGATGAAGAAAATGCAGGAGAGATGGAATTTGCTCTTCAGCCTAGAGTCAGGAGCCTTTCCTTTGCTGCTGGCGCCCACACAGATGAAACTCCAGGGGAAGACCACAAGATCAATGTAGAAGCTGCTGTGGTCTGCAGTGTCCTCCCCTACAATGCTGTGGTGGCCCAGGCAGGACCATGGGGAAGCCACGGCAGCAGTGGCAGACAGGCCCGCAGCTCAGAGCTGCACCCAGCCAGCGCAGAGCCCCTCAGCTGAGCCCTATAGCTCGCTCATAGTGGTGCAGGCAAGTGGGGACGCTGCTGTGAGGCCACAAATCTGGTTCGCACAGATGAAGGTGAAGAAAGGGAAGACCTTGGTCTCACTTTCTGCAATACCCATGGCCACAAATAAGCTGGTACAGAGCAGGAGCCAGTGTACAGTAAAGCATGGCAGAGTTTCCTTTTCTCCCAAGAGGCAGGGAGGGAGCAGAGCACGAACCAGACCTGGTTTGGTTCCTGCTTTCTTTATGAGGCTGTGCAAGTGTGGTCCATAGCTCAGGCTACCCTGCAGTCTTGCTTTCTAGCCCCGTATGAATCCCTTCCCGGCTATAGACTTCAAACGATCGCTACTCAATCTTGATCAGTAAGCAGGACTGTCTCCACACAAAGCACCCCACACATCACTAAGGTATCACAGAACATGAAGCAGTTCACAGAGAACATATTAGTACAGGAACAACAAGATATGTATCTGCCCTTCCATTGCATTTAATATATTTATATTTAATATGTTTATATTCACCTATCCCTTCTCATTTGGTATGACAAAGAAATTTGTTCTGAACGTAGCCACCACCTCAGCTAAAAAGCAGAGAGATGTGATCGTGTCTGCTCATTTGGTTTGGCCTTCTCTGTTCCTCAGCAGTGTCATAGCTCAAAGGCTGGGACAGCCGGTTCCCATGCAAGCACTCCTAGTGCTGCGAGATCATGGAGCTCAGTTCAGGTACCTTCCCAGCCAGCTGAGAGTGTTCCCCCCTCAAATCCCAAAGACAAGAGAACAAGAAAAGCCCATCCAAAACGGAGAGGGGATGTGTACTATCTTTAGCTGGTCTTTTAAAAAAAAAAAGTCATTTAAATTCACTTTTTCCTAAGTACAGAGCCCAGTGATTGGCAATAAGAAGATCATCCAAAATGGAGAGGGGATGTGTACTATCTTTAGCTAGTCTTTTAAAAAAAAAAAAGTCATTTAAATTCACTTTTTCCTAAGTACAGAGCCCAGTGATTGGCAATAAGAAGATGGAACTGAAAATCAGAACAGTAAAATAGGATCACTGCTGTGCTTTGATAGCGTCCATTATTCACCCCAGCACAGCCAGGAAGGAAATAGTTTGAAAACACCAGATGCTCTCTGCAACTGGTATTTTGGATATATTTTCAGCAGGGATTTCTCCCCTCCCCATGAAAACAGACACACATTCTCATTTAACAACTAATTGATTTATTTAACAATACAAATTTCTTCCTACTGCATGGTTTAGCAGAGAGAACTTGAGAAACAAAATTAGCTTCTTTTATTTTCTTAAAGTTTAAATGTTTACACAAAAACAACCTTTACTTCAGTAAATATAAAATTTACACACAAAAAACTACATTAAAAAGGAACAAAACCATGACAAACCAACAACAAAAAAAAAAAAAGATGGGAATTCAGTGTAAAGGATCCAATTGCAAGGAAGGCAAGATGGGGCAAACACTAACAAGGCATCCCACTTGTACACCTAGGAATCTGAAGTTGTAGGTGCAATACAAAACCAAAATACATTAAAATTAGGATTAAAATCTGTATTTTTATACCATAATATTTTATGATATAAATATATGTAAATTCTGTAGGCAACACAGTTAACCTGTGAAAGACATAGTTTGCTCTTCACTGGAAAGTCACTGGAGTGGTGTACGAGCACCGTGTCACCCCCAAGTCCGCTAATAGTCAGCAGTGAACAGACTTTGGATGTCCAGCCAGGATGTGATATCCCCTTGTTTCTTTGCCAATCTGTGCTACTTCTCACATGTCCAATGACATAATGAGAAACTCTGGTCACCTGCAGCAGTGATTTCCAGCACTTCATCTCCAGGCATTAGGCTGTTACCTGACTTAGGCATATTCACCTGCTAGATCCCCTGTTTCTCATTCTCTTTTGCACTTTATAACCTGAACTCTAAAGCTATCTTGTAGTTACTAAGAGAGACTGGCTTCTAGGTTGAGATATTTGGGATATGCAGTTCTTCAAGCCACCTTCAGGAATCTGTAGAAATATTTAAAGTAGGGTGACAATCCATGGTCAAAGGTTATGTGATACAAAAAACAGGGACCTATATAGTGATGGCTAACTTTAGATCTAAATCTTTAACATTTTTTCTATTGCTTTAATATTTAAACTTAACATTCAGTTTTCATATATTAAATAAGCAGAGCATCTTATTGATGGAAGTGCTACGTTATCTCCAAAAATACCAGGTAGTAAGGGAGACTGTAAAGTTCAAAATTAAGTGTAATTTAAAAAATCATTTAAAGGGATCAAGTCTCTTTTTTAACAATCAACATTGTGACTGGCAACCTATAAAAGCTTAAATTATAAAACTATTAGTGACTCTACTTTTTAAACTGTAGGTACTATAAAGCTGTATAACGTTGTTACTTACAGATGTTACAAAATTTCCAAGCCAGAAAGTGAATGGGGGGGGGATACGCAGTCTAAAAACTTTACAGATTTCATTTTCACTAACAAAAGATTCATTTCCCCCATAAGTGTTTTTATGTCATAAAAATCTGATTAAATTTATTCTACTATTTTCTTTTCTGGACAGATGATATAGTGTTCAATCATGTTCTGGAAGACCATTTTCAATGGATAACTGTAGTTCTCTAGATCAGCAAGTCCAACTTGCTTTACTCAGAAACAAAAGCACGAGACTATCTCTAACTTGGCCCTCATCCTGAAAAAAAAAAAAAAAAAAAAAAGTAGCAAGACTCAGGCAGCCTGTTACGAGAGCAGGACTGGCCCTGAAGCAACCAGCTACACTGACTTCTGGAGTAAGGGTATGCAATACTCTCATTCCAACTTGAGAAAGAGCCGAACAGTATTATATTTAAGGAAGTTGTAGAAATGACATTTGTTCTGTAAAAAAACAAAACAGGGAAAACTTAATCCACAGGTGTGCATTAAACATTTAATAGCAAGCCTTGCTTATGTATATTAATTTAAAGATTATCCACAGGGAACTGTGATACATTGGCCCTGCCTTGTTACTATAATTAAATTTATTTGAATATTAATTTAAAATAGGAAAACAAAGAAACTACTCCTTGGGGAACATATTTATTGTGTTTGAGATGATACACTGGGTGCTCTCTGAGCTACAAAGGGAAAAAGGAAATCCTTTCATTACAAACTGACAAAGGTAAAAGTTAAAACAGTTTTCACAACAGCATGTACCACATATTGGAAATAGATCTGGGTTTAATACAAATGACATAATTCCTAGTAATCTACAGCTACCTTTAATAACTTCATACAGATAATGAATTAGGCTAAAATGCACTATAATATTTGGTTGACTTCAGGAACAGTATCCTTAGTACATCACAAAATACATTTTGATATCCCAAAGAAGCAAGACTTGCAAGTAGGCATTTTAAACATAACTAATCTACAGCTACAAATTTCTACTCTTGATAGCATTTACCTTTTTGGGGGGCAGTATCCCAGTCTTCAAAAGGATAAAAGCAGAGTAGAATCAGTATAACATATACACAGAAGTCCGTATTGTAAAGGCTATAAAGATTTGTTGCACACTGCAAAGTTGCCTTCTGCACCTTCACACTGCACAAGTAGTTTGTCATTTATGTTGCATATCTCTTGGTCCACTGTCTGGCTATCCTGTCATGTTCTGCTCTGTTGGTCAGGTACTGAGTGGCTATGCTTCCAACCAGAGGGTCAGCTGCAAAAGGCAGGAGAAGATGCATTAGAAACCACTCCACAACAAAAAAAGCAAACAAACAAAACAAAAAAACGAGCCCTCTTCCCCCCACCTCAACCACCATATGATTTAAAACACAGAATCTCTTCCAAAATATAAATCTTTGTTCGGCCAGAAAATGCTGTGAGGTATCATGGGGCTTCTATCATACAAAACATTTCCAAGAGAAAGCACACAAGGCACAATGAACAGAAAAAGAAAACAGACAAAGTTGCTGTGGTTATCTGCATGTTAATGAATGGTGTCCCAGCCAGGTGCCCTGTTCTCACCCCTCTGGAAGGGCTGCTGGGTACAGGCAACGTTCAGAGAGCACAGCCTGGCACACTCCTGTCACAGCACTAGGACAAGACTAGCGTGTGTTAGGGTATCAGCACTGCAGGATGCACACCAAGGGGATCCAGTTTGCTTCAGGAGTCACCAAACTTTTGTATCAAAGAGGCTAATCCATTTCTCCCTGATCATTACCAGCCTTCTCTAAATGAACTGTCATCTTAGCACTACTGCTCAGTTCCTGCCCTGACCGCAGGCAATTAGCATTCACTGCCTGACGACACAGACACCAGTCACACACTTGTCGCTGAGAAACTGTACTGCTTCCAGTGGAGTTCCTCCTTTCCCAAGAGGAACAAGAAACTCTCTTTGAAAAAGAGAAAAATCTCTCTGAACATCATCCCCCTCACAGTTGCAAGATTAAATGTTCCAATTGCTGTCTTAAGAGAAGGGACTTCCTGCACCCACTTCTGACCTGCAGGATTTATGAGTTTTAACTCAAGAGAACTTTGCTGCTTTCCTGGATTGACCACTCACTTGCCGGAGCTCCTGCAATACAGACCTTCAATTACCTCAGATTATTTTCTCCACCGGTCCTTGGGGAAAAAAAGGGCTTAATGCTATTTATTTTCTGTTGTGCCACAGGAGTGAAAAACACCATCAAATGTAGGACCACATCCAAGCAGGAGTGTTTAATCCCCAACTTTAAAAATACTAATTTTTATTTAATCTGCATACAACCAACTATGCAAATTACATTCCATGGCAAATAAACAACTAAGAGTGGACACTCAGTAAACCATCAGCTCTTTACCTGGGTTGCAGTCTGTCAGAAGAGAACAAATGGACAGCAGAACCTTTGAAATAGTCAAAGCAGGGCTCCAGTTGTCTTTCAGAATATCCAGACAGATGACTCCCTGACTGTTGATGTTGCAGTGATAAATTCTGGTGCGGAAAGTAACCTAGAATCACAGCATAAGAGACAGAGTCATCCAGTGTTGCCCAGGGGTGCTGCCCCTTGTCTCTGAGCAGCAGCAGTGTCTGGGGCGCTCCCAGTTCTCAGAGAATTTTGTGGGCTTCAGAGAAGAGCGAAATACATTGAGAGTATATTATTCTTTATGCTGTAATCCTTCTGGGAATGAAAAAAGGTATCTGGTTTATAACAACAATGTAATAGACACAAGAGCCATGAGTTGTAGAAATGTTGTGTGGTAAATGTATTAGTCTTTGCAAACGTCAGCAGTGTCCTTTCTGGTGACTTGGTCAAGAGCCATAATTTGGCATTTAGGGAGGGGAGAAGGGAACAACCTTTATCTTCTTTGATACCCATTAGTAAATTATAATTTCTTAAGTCTGCATACTATTTCTAAGCAAGGAAATGAAATCTTAGCTTAAGATTAGTTTCATTTAATAGTAAGAGCTTTTGCTTAAAAATATTATCAAACAAGGCTGCAGTAGTAAATTGACATTTCACAATAATGGAAATCATCACAGTAATTTACTCAATCTGAACTCACAATATAACACTCTAGTTGTCTATCTAAACTTATTTTAGCTTTATGTTATTTTACTAAAAATATGTGAAAATATATAATACAGAATCTGGTTCATAACAGAAAATAGTTTATTACACATATATTTTTAGTAGCTGGAATGAAAAGAAGGAAGCATAAGAAGGTCCTGCACTGTCTTCTATTAAAATTAAAATTTCTTGAATCTTAACTCTTGATCAGAATTATCATCTAATTTATCACTTGGTAAAGCTTGGAAATCAGCAGTGACTGTGGTAATTGGGAAATAAATTAGACAGACAATTATTCTGAAACTGCAAGCCAAGATTTTGGACCTTGAGGTTTTCAAGAGACTATAAACAAATTTGATATTGAGAAAGTGATGAGCACTCGCTCGCCACAAGTTACATTCTTCTCACATGTGAGAAAATGATAAACACAATAAAAAACCCTACCCTTACCTTTGGTGGCTTGAATGGATAGTCAGATGAAAATGTGATATCCAGGAAAAAAACGCCTCCTTCATATACAGAACCTGGAGGTCCAAGTATAGTAGATCTCCATTCATAAATGTTATCTCCTTTAGGACCGGCACTGTGTAAAAAAAGAGGAGAGAGAAGAGAGAGAGAGAAGTCAGGTGTACCTTTCAGAGAAGCATCTTATGGATTTCCTTCTACGAATTTTTATTCAATGCAAACCACTCACCTGTCTTTAACATCTGCCTAATTTACAACTGATTTCAGTAGGCTCAGTGTTTTAAAGAGCCACAAAAGCTGGGCACTCCACCGTCCCTTTGGAGATACAGCAATGGAACAGATTGACCATGAACTACTGGACTGTCACTGTCTGAAACATATCCTCAGACCTGCTTTCTCAATTACGTGGTTGCTCTGAGCTTCTACATCATGCCTTTACAATGACATACACAAAAGGAGTTGTATATCTTGACCACATTCATCTTCTCCACACATTAAGCAGATCATACCTTCAATAAAAAATGTGACGCACACGTATACTGATAGGCATTTATTGCCACTTGGTACACCCTTGGGCAGGAAAATTTGTGATGGGAGAGACAGTATCAAGTAACATGGAACGGAGCTTCTTACAGCACTGTTAAACCAAATAGCTGCTTTCTTCAGGATATATTTGTGTTATGGTGCCAGGCAATCAGCATTGAGACTACTAGTCAAAAATAGTTTATTTTAAGAAGTACAATACTGAATGCATTTCTCACTAGGGGAAGAGTTATTGCATAATTAATTATTAAAGTAAAGCTTTCAAAGAAGGGATAATGAACAAGCATTTTCTCGACTTCTGAGACATGATACTTAACGCTATTATCACACAATCACTATCTAACCTCCTCAGAAAAAAAAAATTAAATCACAATCTTATTTCTGTACTCAAGCCTCAGGGTAAAAACTAACCTAACCTTCTGCAAAAGGTCCTGAATCTGAGCCACTGAGATCCAAACTGATTGCTATGGGAAACAACACAGCTGAGCTCATGCTGGCACAGTGAATTCATCACATCTATGCAGACACATCAACAACACAGCACTATAAAGGATCCTTTCAATTCTCCCCACCTCAGCAGCCTCCCAGGCACCACCTACATCGCACAGACACATGGTGAAGCGTTCCCCTCCTTCTCCCTCTGTGGTCCCAAGGAACAGGCACTGAGGACTATCATCTGTGCTTGCACATGAAGCAAGTGACAGGGCATGGCACCAAGCTTTAGCCTGGGAATTTGTGGTTTCTGGCATTGCCTGACACTCAGAGGAGCCTCCCTACAAGCCCTCCAAGTGCTAAGGCTCTTCCCATGTCATGTCACTTCATGTATTTGCCATACATATGTCCACAGTCTATAACATCGCACGTTGGACATTCATCCTTGCTATGTAGCCAAACTTGTGGAGACACTCATCAGAAACAAGGAATATGAGCAGTTTACACTATGCATCTGCAATTCCAACATAAAAAAATTAGCTATTTTTACATTAAGTTCATATTCAAGAAACAACAAAAAGCTGATCCTGATTATGAATTTCCTTTCAATTCATAGTTTTCCAACATGTTTGTTATCTTGCAGATGTGTCATGTACCAAATGTTTAAACTGTTGCGGGCCTTTCATTAACTGGACAAAATAATAATGGATTTTGGCTGACGTCCTACTTAATTAAAACCAAAACATTATTTGATGGAACTGTAGCTACTTTCCTGTTGCCAAAATGAAAGTAGGTAACAATGGTGTGCTGGCCTCCAGAGTACAGCTAAGAAAGAAAAACTAGAAGTGCTGTAAATAAAGTTTGGGTCTAAAATCACTGATCTTATATTAACATTTGCAATTCACAAACAAAGGTGGAAGAAAAACAGTAGATAAATTTTAGAAAAAAAAACAACAGGGAAATCCAGAGGCCAGGAGGCCCATTTTCGATGATGTAATGAATATCAGTCACTCAGTCACTCCAGAAGATAATTCCATTCATGGTCTCTAAAAAGCAATTAGTGTAAGAACTAAAAACATTGGGGCAATAATGACAATATTTAAAACCCACACAGGCCACTGAAATGTTTTAATTAATTCTTGACATTCATCAAGCTTACAGATAATTAGTATTTTGCTTGGAAACCAAATTTCTATGGAGCAATTCAATCTCAGCATTAGAAGTCCTAATGACTGTTTTATAGTTTAATGCAGAGGCCGGTGCTCTTGCCTTGTGTGTCAGGTGCCTTTCTTTCATACACCTCTAACAGCTGGATGCAATTCAATCAGATTAATGAAATAGTTGAATTAAATTAGTGACATATTTCAGTCCCATGAATCAAGTCACAATTAAGTGTGGCACCAGTCCAGTGCCAAACTCTCTGGTAATCACTCACCAAGTCAGAGCAAGGGCATCTATCAGCTAGTAGCCAGAAGCTCAGTGCAATAACTCTCTGCCTATTACTATCTGCTGACCTCTTCTATGCTACCACTAGCAATATATAAAAGGATTGAGCTATAATGTGAGAAGTGGAATTCCTAACCTTGTAAGAGGAAGAAAACGCTGTGTTCAAAACCCCTCCTACTGCTGAGAAAAGATTGCTGCAATGTCAAAAGTAACACAAAGCTGTAACAATAACCACACTCAGATAAAGGAGAAAATTGTTAAATCGAACAATTTCATTACACTTGATTGAGGTTTGTGAAATTTCTATTTAACAGCTGAAGTGGTGTCTCACTTCCAGTGGTGTATAAGATACCCCTGCTTCATTAGCAACCTGAAAACCCTCGCAATTTCTGCATTATTGGTGTGAGGAGACATGAGATTAAAGAGCAGAGACAACACATCACACTTGGCTTCTACCACCTGCATATTTCCTCTGGGGTTCAGCCTCAGACAGCCATACCCTATTTTGTCTTTTGTATACATATCAAGGTAATATTTTTGGAAGTAAACAAACCCATACTCTCTAAGGCTCAGCAAAACATACCAGACCTATTCACGGCAGTCTTGGCCTCTGCAATGATTTCCACAAGGACAGGACAGTGGGGTTACACCCACTTGGACAACTGCAGAGCAGAGCAGGAAGTGCAGTCCTACCTCAGGCAACATCTCTGTCGTGTACAGAACTGCAAGTGCTGGAGCCTCACTGGAGTAACCGCCTTTGAGTCTCTGCCACTGCAGAGCATCGTCCTGGTGCTGCAGAAAGCCACAAGGAGGGAACTGCCACTCCCTGGTGCAAATCTAACTTCCCTGTTCTCACAGAGGACAGCAAAAACCCAGGAGGAAAACTGGGAACAAGGAAGCTTTACTCTGTCTGCAATTTTCTATTTCATTGATACATCCAGAAGAAGTACTCTCCTCCTTCTGTTCGGCACTAAAGAGGCTGGCACAGGAGGTGTTTCTGGGGACTGTACTTGAGGTTTTGATTTGCACAAGTTCTCTTGTGATTCAAGAGAATCACTCTCCTATTGCAGGCATATGCTTCAAGCATCTCTACCTTAAACCTTGAGAGTTGTGGTGAGTGACAGCCTAGGAATCTTTCTCATTGTCTGCCACAGTGGACAGAATACCCCAGGCAAAGTGCTACAATGGGGGACTTCCATGGTCTTCTTCCCTTTCCTTTTTTCATCACTGGAAGACTCAGCTCTTTCTGATTTCCCCTATGGGATCCATATGGACAGAAAATCCTCCTCTATTCTAGCCTTTAAAACACAAAATCCTGATGGAGCAACGGATCTGATGACAACTTCAGTGCTTTGGCTACACAGCATACAACAACAGTTCATTACTACCAGTCTGCTGCCCTCCTAAGTTAGCTTACAGACCATTACAAGTTTGGTAAAGGCACCACTGGTATATTCCCAATAAAAGAGACACTTGATTAATTTTTTAAAATCCGGACTAAAAACAATCTCAGATAAAATAACAAGGCAAATTAATTGAAATGACAAAATATTATTTGCAAAATTAAGGGGTTTTTACTTCATACATATGTGGTGGGTTAACCTTGGCTGGATGCCAGGTGCCCACCAGGCCCCTCTATCACTCCCCCTTCAGCAAAATAAAGGGGGAGAATAAGATGAAAAACTCGTGGGTCAAGATAAAAGCAGTTTAATTAAAGCAAAGGCCAGGGCCATGCACAGAAACAAAAGGTAAACAAAGATGCTATTCTCTACTTCCCCTCAGTAAGTGATGTCCAGCCACTTCCCAGGAAAGCAGAGCTTCAGTGTGTGCAGCTGCTGCTCCTGGAGAAAAACCCAGCAACA